TTAAACTTAAAGGTATTTGATGAAAAAAAAGTTAAAACAAAATTATAATTACATTGGTATAAGAAAATAAGGCTCAACACACCAAAACTATGAAACATATTAAAATAAAATTAAAATGTCATACAATCCTTGGTCATGGTAAGAATAAGTTTTTTTTTTTTTATTATTTTTTAGCAAATAATTCTAGAGGATTTTTAATTTATATAACACTTAAAAAAACATGGAGAAAGTAATGATAAACTTCATTACTTTTCTATTTGCTAAAAAAAAGAAGGAAAAATGCACTTTAATAATCCCAACTTTTGATTATTCTGCTACAATCCCAATTTTCACTCGTGTTTTCTTTCTTCAATCCGAATTACTGGTTACCTGAAGTAAATGTAAAAAAAAAAAATTAAAAAAATTATTTGACACGTGTATCATGTTAATTGGTTAAAAAAATAAAAATAAAAAATTAATTAAAAAAAAAAAAAAAGGAAAAAATTAAAGACCACCAGCCACCAAACGCTGGTGGCCGCCCTTTCCCAACCGGCGAGCCCCACCCCCAAATCACCACATTCGACCCCCCATGCCGCATTTCCGACCACCCTTTCTTCCCTTCGCACCGAAACCGGCTTCCCTCACCCTTTAATTGCATTTTCGATACATGGAGGAGAGAGAAAGGGAGGAGAGTTCCGATTTTGGAAGTTTCGGGGGTGCGAGAGGTTATTTCGAGGGCTGAGGTTAGTGTTATGGGTGGTTTCGGGGCTGGAGGGAGGGGAGATACACGGTTTCGGGTTTAGGGGCTTTGGTTATGGGTGGTTTGGGGTTATGGGCGGCCGTTAGGGCTTGTGGTTATCGCTGGTTTAGGAGGTCTAGGAAGGGTAATTTCGCAGGGAACGACGGTTTCGGGTGAACTTTCGCAGAGATTTGGCTGTTTCAGGGTCGGAGCTATGGAGGAGGTGGTTCAGGGTTGGCAGCAGCCACCGCGGGTGATTGTGGGCTGGTGGTTGCTTAGTTTTTTTTTTCTTTATTTTCTTTTGATTTTTTCTTTAATTTTATTTGGACCAATTACTACTTGACACATTTCATGTTACCTAGAATAATGGGTAGTTCAAAGTTGAGATTATTGTAGAATAATCAAAAGTTGAGATTATTTAAAGTAAACTGGCCAAAATTGAGATTATTAAAGTGTATTTTTCCAAAAAAAAAAAAAAACTTCATTACTTTTCTATAAAATATTAACCCCACTATCTTTCTTTTACAATATATAAATTTTTTTTGAGGAATTTTACAATATATGATGTAGTAATACTCAAACTTCCACACTTAATTATTTAAGTCAATTAAATTGCCTAAAATTATGTGCCGGTCAAAGTGTAACACTTAAAAAAATGAAATAGTGACATAATTCCTAGGAAAATTAATAATTTTTTAAAAATCTAAACAATTAAAAATAAAGCATAGTGACAGTGAGGGGTAGCTCAAGTGCTTAGAGCCCCCCTCCCGGTTCCAAGTGATTCTGGGATCGATTCTCATCACCCCGCCTATGTGGCTCTCTGAACACCAAAAAAATAAAACATAATTTAGGAGAAAAATTCCCTAAAAAAACCTATATCTATTAAATATTACTAAATCAAAACATTGCTGACATCATCCTCCCTTAAATTATCCTACGTGTCATTTTCTCATTAAAAAGTTTCCTCCATTTCTATTGATGATGTCATTAATTATTATTTTAAACTTTTTTTAAACAATTATTATTTTAATCTACACTATACAATTTTGAATAATAAAAAATTGCCACTCCATGACAACAAAATTATTTCATATGCATGATAACAAAATTATTTCATATGCTAACAAAATGATTTAAATCGTGCAACACACGAGTCTAATCTAATTTTAGTATTTTTGTTAGATTAGATTACCCCCTTGGTCGAGAAAATATAAGTTGATCTTCGTGATAAATAAAAAGAAAAATTATAAGTAATAATTCCAACTTTGCTATATTTTCTTTTAATAATCTCAACTTTGGGTTATTCTGGAATAATCCAAACTCTGTGGGTGTTTAATTTCTTTAATCTCAAATTAGTCAACCAAAGTCAATGGCGTATTATATCATATCACTTAACACGTGTTAAGTCATAATTAGTCCAAAAAAAAAAAAAAACAGCTAGCCTTCCTTTCCCAAGCCAGCCGACCCTCCCTTGTCGGACCGCCGCGTCTCCCTTACCCTTGGTGTCGCCGTTTTCCCCCTCCCCGAAACCCCACAAAACTACCTAGGAAATCCCTCCCTAATTCCCCGAATCGCTCTTCCCCCTAATCCCAAACCCTATCGGATGGGGATTTCGATAATGAGGGAGGGGTTTTTGGTGGTTTTCGAGACTCGGGAAGTGGTTTTAAAGTTTCTGATTGGTGGACTAGGGTTTCTGTTTGAGAAAGCTAGGCGAAAAAGGACGACGCAAGGGGAGGGGAAACTAGTGCAGTTGCGGCGGCTGGCGTCAAAGAGGTGGCAAATCAGCTGGCCCGTGTAGGGGTTTTGGCTGGGTATTTTTGTTAAGTTTTTTTTTTAAACTTTTTTGTAACCAATTAATAATCCAAAATTGATACGAAGTACGGAGTATTATTTAAAGAAAATATAGCAAAGTTGCGATTATTAATTACAAATTTTCCTAGATCCCTACTTTATAAAAAGTAGGATCTTGCTCTTATGAATAGTGTTGCGACAATTATAACCCCAAAAATGTGTATTTATGCATTTGCCCCTATTTAATATTACAAGATTTTTTTAATATTGTATATCTTCTCTATGTTATTACGTACTTTTTCATCTTCACATTCAATCGGTTGAATTATTGGTTTTAAGTTTCAACCACAAAGTCACTGACAATCTTCAAAGGTATTTTTCAATTTTAATTTCAATTGTTTTATAAGGTTTTGATTGATTTTAGATTTTAAGGTATTATCCTTTTTAAATTTTAGGGTCTCATCTATTTTTCCTAAATTTGATTGGATTTTGAAAAAAAAAAATATAGTAGATAATTGAAATGAATGGAGAACCAGAAACACTATAAGCGAGGGAAATATACCAACTTCCGAGCACTACCCCATGGAAGCCCCTCATGTATCTTTCTATTCTTTCAATTTGATCATTTCATGAATATTTGTCAGTGACTTTGTAGTTTGTCCAGTTAAGCGCTACCATAAATCCGATCAAAAGGTACTTTAATTTTTTCCCTATAAGATTTTTTAGGATTTTTATTTATGATCTTTAGATTGTACTTTGGTTTTGATTTTGGGGATTGTAGAATTTTACAAAGGTGGCTTTCAACATTGCTATTAGATTCGTGTTATGAGATACAAATGACATCTAAATTTCGATTATAATTTTGGGATTAAAAGCGTAAAATGAGAGTCCACAACTTTAAAAGATGCAATTTTTCAAGGTACATGTTTTTAAAGGGAGTAGAATGCCTTTGTGCTTAGGCTCTGGATGTATATTCTATATTTGAAGGAAAGGAGGTGTGAGTAGGGGTGAGCATGGGACGGGTACCCGTATCATTAGTACTAACGGTTCGGGTACCCGATAACCAATATTACTAAAAGTGATATCCATAACCCGAACCGATAAGTTTGGGTACCCGGATTTTCATAACGGTTATCGGGTACCCAATAAAGTATCCAATAGTGATAATTAAACTTAAAAAAATAGTTATTATGATATTTTTAAACACTAAATAACAACAATACCACATGATCTTGACCAAATTATTAATAACATTACTAATTATTGATATTATATAGTGATTATGAAGTAACGTAAGAGTTTAAATATTGAAAAGATAGATTTAAGTAGGAAAAACAAAATAATTGCTTATCGGAACGGAACGGATAACCGTTAATTTTAAAATGATACCCAAAAACCATACCCGATAACAAATTATCGGAACGGGTACCCGAACCGTTATGGTTATCGGATCGGGTACCCTAATTTTCGGAACGGTAACGGAACGGGTTTTCGGGTAGTTTTGCTCAGCATTAGGTGTGAGTATTTCTCTTATCAATCCTAACCTATCTTAAAGGTTTATTGTTACTTGTTAGAAGAGAAGATACCACTTTTCTGGTGAGATTCTGATATGATGCATCCTAATAATGCTATATGCTCAGCATCTAATGAGTATCAATTTAATGATTTACTGTATTTCTTTTTATTGTTGAGTTGAATTAAGCTGAGCTCAAGCTTGTCTGCATTGGATAACTCAGCTTTTCTTACATTGAGTTTAATTACAGAGTATTAAAAAATAAAAAATAAAGCCCCTGGACCAATATACAAAGAGAGGGGAAAAAAAAAGCTACTCTGTATTTTATTATTTTGGATTTTTACATTGGGTTCAAGCTATCAAACTTTATATTAGATGATCATATTAGACTTAACAACAATACTAAGTATAAATGTACGTTGTATTGGACTTAGCAAAATCCAAACTCAAAACTAAAATTTAACACCTGAGAGTCCTAACTACTCATAGGGTACCCAAGAACAAATTGATGCAAAATTTCATTATTCCTCTGTTTGTTTCTCTTTGTTTTTCAGCTTGTAATATGTATCAAAATTTTATTTTAGAGAATCATCTAGACTCTATAAGAAAAGCATGTAAATGTTATTTTTTACTCTTTAAAATACATAAGAAAAGCTTAAGGATATAGGATTTCGAACTTAATAGTCGATTATTACTCTTTCTAAAGGTTCATTGTATTAATTCTTATCAGTTTCAAGGTATTTAAAGATTGCATAAGACATTTTACATGCAAAATGCTTACTAATCATAACTATATACAAGCTAAAATTTTTAGTACAAAGACAAGCCTTGATAACTTCTCCGCATTAGCTAGCCATGTCGCGTGCATCGCGCGCGTTGGCCACCCTAGTAAGATAAAAAAGTACTGAGTACTACGTATTCAACTTGCGACAAAAGAAGCGGGAAAAAGATGACATTGGCGCTGAAGAAACAAGTTTTAACAAAGAAAACCTGAACCTCGTCATTTTGCCCCAACACTAATACAATACTCCCCCTAGAGTCCTAGACTACACTCTCCAAGAAATTGCTCACTCACTCTTCAATTTCTGCCCATTTTATCTGATTCTTCCTTGATTTTTATGCTCTTAATTTCATTTTACGATCCATAATCTCTCCAAACAACAATTTGTTAAAGAAAATATCAATTTTACATTTTGGGGTTTTAGGTTAACTTTTCTGGGTTTATTCCATATTATTACAATTTGCCAACTTCCCATTTTGATATAAAAAGGGGTGCAAAATGAATTGGTGGGAAAGTGCTGATGGTGAAATTCGGGTTTTAATTGCCCCAGGTGCTCCCAATTCTTTCCTATTTTTGTGCATTTTTATTTCAATTTATTTTTATTCCTTTGAGAATTCTAATAATATGTGCTTTAGATTGTGATTCTTTCTTAGTTTTTGTATGAAAGTCTTAATATTTGTATTTGGACAAAGTTAGGGTTTTGAAGCTAATTGCATTTGTTTGATTATTTATTGTAGTGTCTTTCTTTTAAACAAAGTGCAAGTATATGTTTTTGTATGATAAAAAGGATTGCATCAGTGTATTCTTTTTGCTGAAAGTTGCTTGTTTTTAGCATTTTCGAGACCGGTCATTAGAAGAGTTGCTTTCGGGAGAAAGGTTAAAGTAGTTAAGGTGGAGACATAGTGGTTTATATTAGAACAACTGAACAACAACAAACGAGTAGAAATTGTCGAGGTTTGAACTTTTAAACGGAATGGTTAATCCTAGGATTATATGACATTTTGTGTCACGTTGATATTACTACGAGTAGTACCTCAAAAAATGTCCTCATGCATTTTATAGTGTATAATCGGAATTTGATTTCAGTTAACGAATTACATATCATTTATGAAACATGTTCTGTCAAAAAAATTGTTAGATGATTCATGTGGAATAAATGGCTTAAGGTACGATTTCTGAGCAAATCATTGAGATTGTGCAAAATGCATGTAGTCTTCAGCGCAACAAACTTCTGTTAATGACCTTATTATACCATACCATACTAAATTGTCTCCAATGGGTTCCAGCCTAGTTGCCTATGTTGGGTGGGGGTTACCTGTGTATGCAGATACAGATACGAAATTTTCGCTTACCTGTGAACTTGTGATGGCCAAACATTGGTATTCTCACGGTCTTTGTAGCGTATGAAGTATGGACTTTGTTAATTACAATTTGATGGCTATACAATGAATATAGAAGGTTCTAATTGTGTTATGCTTCTAGTTTATTGATTTTTTTTTTTTTTTTGCGAACCACTGCCTTTTAGCTGTCAACTTTTGTGCAAAACTGCCTTTTAAGTATTTGGTGTCAAAATTACATTTATACCGAAGTTTGTTTGGGTACCACTACCAATTGACTATATTTGTTAAGAAGCTGCATTTACTGCCGGGGGGGGCATTCTACCCCTCCTGCAATTTTCTTCACTCAAGCAACATATTTATCATAATAACATGAAAATAATTGAAGACCCTTTATGGAGAAATTTAGTATTATCCCTAATTTGAAACTCTTCTTGGAATGAACACTTCACTTTTATCTCCCTCAATCACAATCAAAACTAATCAAGCCAGCAATACATAGACCAAACAAAATAATTACTCCCTCCGTCCCCGAAAGAACGACCCTTTTGGGTTGATTTCGCGGGTATTAATAAAGTTAAATAAAAAGAAGTAAAAGTATATTGGAAAGATAAATTTACATAGGGTTTACAAAAAAGTAGAGAGAGATAGTAATAAAAGTATATAGAAAAATAAAATTTTATATGGGGAAGCTAATTTTGCACAAATATTGTTGCAAATTGGTGGGTATTTTAATGCTAATGGGTCATTCTTTTTGGGACTAAAAATAGGCCAAATGGGTCGTTCTTTCGGGGACGGAGGGAGTACTAAAGAATTTTGCAAAATTTACCTTTGAATTACTATAAAATCGCAAATTCAAACACTAAGCAGTTCAAACTACCATTTTTCTTGTCGATATACTATAAAGGGGATGATGGTAAAAAGTGTTTACCAAAATTGGAATAAAGTAGAAGTGGATAGAATAAAAGAAAAGCCTAAAATGGTACATGGATAGAACAAAAATATAATAAAATGGAGGGAGTATTAGAACAGAATATTGTGTTTTTGTTTTGTGATTGGCACTTGCTGATCTCTTTATAGGGGTGTTGGAACTATTACTTTAGCACCTTCCTTTATGTTTACTAATACTGTTTACCTTGGGTCTGTTGCATCGTGCTTAAATGTTAAAAGTTTATCTGCAATGCATTCCCCCTCAAAGTGTTGTTGCTGTAAATATGATACCTTTGATAAAATAGTTGTTCAACTGTTTTCATGTCCTAACATTTTTACATCCACCTACAGACAATGGTACATCTGGGACAGATGCAGGGCAGTTGCTCTCTCTACGCCATCCTAAATCTGGTAATATTCTGAAATATAGTTTAGCGCATCCCATCTTTTGTTTTTGAAATAAGACTCTATGATCATTACATTGCAGAGCTGACTTTATCTTATTATAATAATTATAGCTTCTAGTAACAGCTGCTGTGATTATATGTAATTTCTTTTTCATTGTACCATTGGTGTTGTTGGTGCTATACCATGATTGTTAAGCCTTTTTCACAGTAAGGCTTGTTATTTTTGGTAGATGCTCCATGTTCCTGTTGCTATTATCTTGGAGATTCTCTGCTTCTTTAACTTTTGAAGTATGTTTTTCAACACAAATACAGTAATTTTATTGGTTTATCAGTTGGGGTTTTGGAGTCACTTTGATGGAAATGTGGGATTATGTATTTCAAGATAATATGAGTGAAAGCTTATTATTTCCGTCTTAATCCTATTGATGGGTTTTGAATTAGAACTGAAAAGACAGTTGGAAGGACAAACTATTTGTCCAGGTTAATCCTATTGATGAGTTTTGAATTAGAACTGAAAAGACAGCTTGAAGGACAAACTATTTGTCCAGGTTAACTTGGTCATATTATGAATTTCCAGAGCTTTAATTTATTTTGCTATGATCTCTACCTTCAAATTCTTTCTTTCTATTATTTTCTAATATGTTGAGAACATTGGCCTTCATGGCCGCATGCAGAAAAGAGATGCATTGAAGCAACCTTTGAGTTTTTCTAATAGATGACACTAAATTGGATGTTCAATGCATTATTAAGTAGATCTTAGTCTAAAACTTCAGATGTGCTTCAATTGTTTTTCTTATTGATTAATTTTCAGGAATCGCAGCTAATTATCTCTATATCAATGAGGGTCTTCATGAACTCCAGTGGCATAAAAAATCCTATACCTCTTGGTTTTTAGGTGACTATGTCTGCGAAGGTAATATATTCTTGAATCTCCTTATCAGCTGAATTAATAGAGTAGTCTATGCAATCTTCTTGCAATTATTACAATATTTTTTTTTTTATATTTTATTTATTTATTTATTATTGTTATTGTTATTATTATTTTTTATTAACTGTTTATGTTGGTGTCTGATGGCCAAAATTTGCTTGGCTATTCTTTGGGTATTTTGGCTGCGTAAAAACAATGGAATTTTTCATTATATTGCCTCAGAGTTCAGCTTTTAGCAACTGTCATGTATAGTAATCTTCCTCAACTCCCTTTGGTTTCCTACTGCAGAGGCTTTCCTGGTTCTGGCTTAAATGTTCATGATTGCTGTGCTCTTATTAGTTTTTTTTTTTTTTTTTTTTTTTTTTTTTTTTTTTCATAATTTCTAGATAGAGGGCTGTAGTTGTTTCCTTTTCTATTGGTGTAGTTTGTTATCGTCTTAGAAACTCTGATATGGAAAGTCCAGCTTGGACTTTTATACAGAATTTAATCTTAGACCTCAGTGCCTCATAGCTTTTCTTCAACACTACTGTTGTAGAATCTAGAAGTTACGGAGTAGTAATTTGCTTCAGCTACTAAGACACTGTTGTTTGGTAGTACAGGATTACTATTTCCACTTTGTAGCTTTCTATTATAAGAACCTACTTGGAGTTGATTGTCAGCTGGGCCTGCTGGCACTTTTGGAATTGCTTTTTATGCAGTATGCATCCTATGAGTTCCATGTGACAATAGCTACATCTCTTCTATAAACACAGAAGAAAAGTGTTGCAATATGCTATATTTATTTATTTATTTTATGATATAAGGTTTATTTTTATTTTTTTTCAATACCGAATTAATACAATGCACCACTTATCTTTTTTGTCTCTAACCTGGAGGAGTGGAGGGGGCTGAGTTCTGGAATAAGCAATCACAATAACACACAAACTTTATCAATAGTAGCCCCTTTGTAAACCTATGATCTATTTCCTCATCAAAAAAAAAAAAAAAAAAAAAAACCTATGATCTTGTACATACTACTTCTGCTTTCCCGAATTCTACTCAGTTATCGTAGCTACTAAAACCAAGGAAAAGTGAAAATGGGGACCACACATGTGACTACCTTTGCTTAAAGAGAAGAGAAATAGAGAGTAAAAGATTTGTGTAATATAATTGGGCCTCACAAAGTGGGTTGTAGTTGAGAAAGAATGAATAAAAGGTTGCCATAAAAGGAATAAAGTAAAAGTGAGTAAAACTTTGAAAAATGAATGAAAACGGATAGTGAGTAGAACTTAGGAGAATGAAGGGAGTAAAATCTGGATATTTGATAGTTTGATTAGGATTGATATGTGAGGAATAACTGATGCCATAGCAATGTGTTTCTGAAAATATGCAGGCACCATCCTTGACTTGTGTGATTGTGCCACTGTTGAAGGTTGTTTCTTGAACGTTGATGAAATAATGAACTCAAATGGATTTAGAAATTTTCTAAAATTATTCTTTACCCTGAGATTGAAATCATTGGATAGTGGATATGGTCATATTATGTTTAAAAGTTGCATGTTTTATATCTTTACTTACTGAAATAAACTGGGCTGTCAAGAATAGAATAGCCTGTGAATCTGCTGTAAATGTCATAAATCTTTCTCAATCAATTATATTCAAATCTTTCGAAGCTCCTCTTTTTTCCTAATTTCATTTTCTTTGTTTATTTTGTGTATCTCAATCTAAATACAGACGGAGGCTTGTATATATCAACACCCATAGATCCAGTCTTCATCATGCTTCCCATATTTGAGGATGCTCGAATGAAGGTAACTGAGTGTTTTTTTATTATCGTATGGTTTATACAATATTGTGTCTGCACTGGGCAGTTAGGCATTAGTGTATACATGGTTTTTTTTTTTTAATTTATTTATTATTTAATTATGGGATTATTTTATTTTTTATTTTTTTGTGGCGTTTGTTTAGTTGTTCTGCTGTGTGAAGAACATTGTAAGTCAATTCATATAATTATATTTACAGTTGACAAAGACATCATAGATTTCTCGTGCTGAGGTGTTTCATTTCCTTCACCTCTTATTATTCAGCTAAGACATTCATTTTTTTGGGGGAGATAATGGGATGTAGAAAATTTCTTGATCTTTATTTTCTCATAATTTCATTTAGATGAAGCTCTGATTCTATTATGCCTTGGACTGCACATCTTTGGCTTTGTTTTTAGAAAGGTGTGGCTTTTCATTGGAGTTTAGAAAGTGACCATATTTTGTTGGCAATTTTGAACATTTGGTGTTTCAATGTAAAAGAGAAGGAATTCAGCTCAAGTGAATTTTTTTGATTGCTGATTGGTCTAAAATTTGCACGAGTGCCCTTTAGTTGTTGAATGCTCATGTTGACCAAATAGTTAGTTCATGAATTACTCTTCCAGCTTCGCTAAGGGTAATATATGATTGAGGTCACCTCCCCACTCTTGTTCTAGTGGTTAAGTATTCGTCATGTTCAAGGTACTGTAAAACACTTAAATATGAGATTTTATGTTTTGGCTTAAAATAATAAAGAGATACACTTAAGGCCAAATCGGATTGAGTAGTAAATACTTATGACTCCATGCACATTGCCTGATTAGATCTCAAACGGAGCTCAAACTGAGAGGATGTATAAATTAATTGGTAAATTTACAAATCAACACATTTAGTTAATAAAGTTTGATAACATATATTTGAAGAACATACTATTGTAAAGTTCATGAGCATAAACAAGTTTAGTCTATGGTATTCAAGCTCAGCGCATTCACTTACTGAGCTTGAAATTATTATTTACTTAACGAGTGAATTTTGGACAATCTTGTTCATGAATGTATCAATTTGTATGTGGAGTTCATAGGCATAAACAAGTTTAGTACTATGGCGTTCAAGCTTGGCTCATTTACTTACGGAGCTTGAAATTATTATTTACCTGACGAGTTAGTTTTGGCCTACCTTGTTCATGATTGTATTGATTTGTATGTAGCTCTAGAATTGAGTGTTGTCTGTTTAGCTTAGTGATGGCTTGTAGTATTACACTCTGCAATTTCTTTCATTCTTGGCCTAGTTAAAACAAATAGCATTGAATTTACCTACTGCGTCACACATCTTCTAACTTTCAGGTCAACTTATGAATATAGCATTTATGTAGTCAGCTTTTTACTTGTGTCTGATAAGTATTGCATGATAGGACATTTCCCTAAAAGCTGATCATTTTGGAATGCACTTTTGAATCAGTCCAGATATTTCATCCTTGTGTGTTTCATTGTAGTTCTTTCTTATCATTGTGTTTTTTTTATGGACACAGAAGGCGAATGATCCAGGCAAATTCAGACAATTAGATGAGATAATTTATATTGACGGCTTTCCTGGATATCATCATCTATTACCAGTTATTGAGAAATCTATGGGTGTTGTTTGTGAAGTAAAAGGTCATTGATCAAAACTATTTCCACTTTAATTTTTCATCCCACATTTGATACTTCTTTATTTGTTTGCTATCACACTAGACCTCAATTGCCGGCTGCTACAATTATTTCTATGTGCAGCAGTTGCTGTTTCTAATATTAAACTAATAGATTTTTTGCATAATTTGTGGTAGTTCTCTTCCTTGTTAAACTAAAATGCATGTGTTGTCTACCCTTGGATTCCTTGAATAAACTTTGTAGTGATGGACTGCACATGATTTGGGGATTAGGACATAGTAGTTTGCTAGAAATTAAAATCAAAACAGAGAATTCCAGATTATGTAGAGATGAAATAATAGCCCAAAATTGATAATGGTTGTATTGAAGATTAAATCAATCAACAATACACTCTTTTCAAGAGGAACAAATCTCTCCCAAAGTTTACTTCACTAACTTTTGCATAATTCCCTCTTCTTACAACTCCTTTATTTATTATCAGTTTCTAACAAACTCTTAAAGCTAAGAAGGAATAACAAACTAATTACAAAATTACTTAATTACCCGAAACCCACTAGCAAGGATCCCAATTCAATCTTAAGTTCTTGGGTGTTATGGCAACCAGATTAGAATAATACATCTACTCGCAAGATATTTTAGTATCTGTCATTCAAAATTATTCTTTATGTATTTCATCTACTTCACAATTTAAAGAAGCTGCAGTGTGTTTCTGTGAACTGTTAGATCAAAAACCTTATAGGACTTCGTTATTTCATCAAAGCAAATGTGCCTTTCCGTAGCTTCTGGTGGATGGAACTTGATTGACATTATTACTTGGATATATCTGCTGTAAATAACCCGTTTTGGGCTATGTCAATGAAACAGGACAAGCTTTACATCACTATGCTGTATACCATAGACTGCTTACCTCACTTGGAATATTATTGTTGATCCCATTAGTGTATTATGTGGTTTGGCTAATTGAACTACTGAGCATATACAATTTATATTTGATTACTCTGTTGGAGTTTGGAGGGAAGTATTAAAGCTTTGTTGACGAGGTTCAATTAGCTGCTCAGGCTTGCGAGAAGAAGCAGCTGCTTGCTTGACTTCATGGGATGTGTTATACTCCTCAGTTAAATAAATTAATGTTTTTGAGTTTGTGACTTGTGATCTCTTTTATGTGCCTAGTACATATTTCAAGGACTAAGCAAAAAAACATACAGAAAGTCAGAAACTCAGAGACAAATATAAAATCTTTGTTGGATAGCTGTAGAGCAGAGACCTAAGTGCTGCTATCCAGGTTGAAGTATGTAAACTGTTTCTTGATGATTAATAACCTCCGATATGTATGTATGATCAGTTTTCCCTGGTTGTGACTTGTAAGGAAATAATTCATCAAGATGAGAGATGTTATTTGTTGAATAATTCATCATCTGCAGTTATATAAATAAATGGCCTAAATTGGCCAAACTTGCAAGCTTCTTTTGACTTTATTGACTTGCAAATTGGAATTAGTCTTTCCGGTATATGCTAATTTCTGTCCTTGTAGAAGCCTTGATTGGCATGACTTTTTTTTTTTTGGTATTTAACTATCTTTTTTGCCGTATTTTAAAACCTATAGCATTTATTCGTGGGTTTTTATTTATTTATTTATTTATTTATTTATTTATTTATTTACTTATTTATTATTTTTTTTTTAAACACGATATATCACTTTCTTGTTATGAACAGATATTGGATCAACAAAGTTCTTTAGGCTGGATGATTCCAAGGTTATAGCTTGGCTGTGTGCAAAGGTGTGTCCATCTTGTCATTTCTAAAGCATAACGGTGCTCTCAGTTAAATCTTATGTTTTGCTTCATTGAACAACTCAAAATGTGGTTTTATGTTTGATTGGCATAAGCTAGTGTTGGGGTATCAAATTAATAACTCAAAACTAAAGGTTTAATAGCTTTGCTTGTACTTTATCTGTAGGGTATCAAATTCTCACTGTTTTATGTAGTAAAGCTGGATTTTAGAACTTATTATACTTCTGATGTTTTTTCTTTCCTCTGCAGGCTGACCGGTTAAAACAGACTTTACTCACTTTGGACAAGAACTATGCTGCTCAGGATGACAAACATACATGTAAGAATCAGTATATTCAAAATGCTTAAGGCTCACTGTAGAATTCGTTGATTGTTATATTGGTAGTAAGGTCGTCATTATAGTGGATTCTGATGCATGATATTAGGAAATTGTCTATTCTCTGTTCTTTGAGAAGATATCTGTGAACATTTTCTGGCATCCAGGTTGTTAATATTGTTATCCTGCCAATCCTGGAGGATGTCACATTTTATAAAATGGTTCAATAAATGCTTAACAATATGATAGGGTTTGGCTGCCAATTAACTTATATAATAGTGAAGGATCTAGATCATAATGACGCAGACCCCTACCACATTTTTCTTTTGTTTTCTTGTCTCTTTATTTTTGTTTAAATTTAGGGTGGACAGGGAGAGAAGAGGGGGTAGGGAGGAAAGGAGCGCCAAGAGGGGGGGGGGGGGTTAGTCCTACCAGTTAGTTGATCACTCCCGAGCTCTGCACAGTAGAAGCCAAAGCCGTGTCTTCTGGTCTCAACTAGCTACATCTGCATGATCATTTAATTTTTTGTTTATTAGTGAGTTTATAATCGAAATTGAAATGTGAGCAGCTATAAAATTTGGTTCTGTAACACCTCAGCCCCATGAATCTTATCATAGAAGATGTGTCCATTATGTTACAAACAAAAGCACCCATTTCACAGCCATAATTGCACATCACGAAGGAACCTTTAGTTCCCTCCTTCAGAAACTAAATTAATTTACCTGCATGGCTTCATGCGGCTTTTTAAAGAAGCAGAACACAAGAGATGAGTCCTGGACCCTGTACCTTTGTACGACATAACTCATACATCAGGGGATAATGCTCTTCATGGCCACTGCACCCAGCACCTGCAAAGAGTGTTTCTAAATTTCTGTCCTCACAAAAGCTATAGCCTTCAGAAGTTGGTATTTAAAAAACTGGAAACAGGAAATTTGGAAGATATATTCTCGTAGTTGTGTAGAATTATTGACCATAAAAGTTCCCTGATATATCAGCTTGCCAGACTAGACTGTCATGAAATTAGGAAAGGCACTGGAAGTTTGGAATCTAGGAACCTATATAGACTGCTTCATCTAATTTCCCGTCCTGCATATTTCTTCACTATAGGTTAGTTGTGGCAGAAGCTAAAAAAGAGTCTTTTTTCAAAGCCACAGAAACTCTATGATGGCTTTAAACTTGACCAAGGGAATGAACATATAAGGTACCTTGGGGACATACTTCCACAGGCTTGGACATCTCAACAAAGCTTGTGTTGATCTTACTCTTGATCACCCTATTTGTTTGCGGGATAACATAGTTGAAGTCTTGAATTAAGCTTTCCCACATGATGGCATTTTATTCTAAACATTTGATTAAGCAAAACATCAATTTGGCATTTTATTCTAAACATTTGATTAAGCAAAACATCAATTTTAAAATTGCAAGGAATCAAACGAGGCCACTGCTCAATCTAGGAGTAATAAAAAGGAAGGTTGACATGAGGTGAAACAGTTACCAGGGTGATATGGTGGGGGATTGTCAGAAGTTATAGAGAGAGAGTTGTCAGTATTGTGAGAAGGGAATCAGGGGTATTATAAATAAAGAGAGAAAATTGTAGGAGGTCATTCAGAAAAGTGTTGTTATCTCATATTGTTGCTTGGAGGTTAGTCCACTCCTCGAACTGTGATAGCTTGTAGTAGATTCGATTGTACTGATCAATCAATACATATTCTATCTTCTTCCTTCAATTCTTTTGAACAGTCAATTTTGCTTTCTTTGTGCTTCTGCTTTTAATTTTGTGAAGGAATCTCATCCAATTTCTAGCAAAAATTTCTACCTCTCAGCAAAAGCTCTGCATTAAAAGAGATGGCCTTTGGCGCTGCTACTTATTTGTCTGTTCACACAAGGTCTACTTATTGTGAAATATGGTTCTGATTGAATGTTTGTACATGAAAGAGTGCAGCCAAAAATCTTAGTTTATATGTTTCTGTTAGCAGTAGCTAACTATGTAATTGCTGGTTTAATTCTATATAAAGCTTTTGAGTTTTAACAGTAATACTTAAACTATATTGCAGTGGCTGAAGTGGTATCAATACTGGGAGATTATTTGAGAGACAAGCCCTGGGTGGAACTTTTGTGTAATCATCTAAGGTAATTCCTGACACTGTATTAAAAGAGAAAGATAGACTTAAATAGGGAAAATGAGGTACATAAATTTAAAAGAGTTGGGCAATGCTAAATTAAATTTGTTTATATAATCGATCAAACGGTAAGAAAATGTCTTATATGGAGTAATTTACTTTGCCATTGAAAGGGTGATGGTTTTTGAAGATGCTCAAAGTAGTAGGCATGATTTACTTGTTAAAATTCTATATGCAATGATACACATCATGAGAAATTTGACCTCATTAAAAAGTGAATGTAGTGGTGTCTGAAAGACTAAGGTTATATTCTTAGGAATTGCTTTTTTCTTTTAATATTCAAGTTCACTTTCATAAATTGAACAGATTGGATTTACAAGATTTGACAAGGAAAGCAGATGATCATTCTTCCTCCATGACAGATAATTTGCATCAATCCTCAGCTCAGGTACATTAATATGTCTTATGGATTCTAATCTGGGTTGATTGGATTTAATGGAGCTTTATGTTTCATCTTACCCTTAATAGATAAAGCATATATTTTATGAATAGCGATTAAATGTACAATTTATAATATGCAGTTTGATGTGTATTTTGTTAAGATTTGGATGTATTCTGTCGTGCATTTCTCCCATTCTCTGGCTAACATTTTATTGGCATGGGCCATGATAAATACTCCGTGTTTGTTTTTACAAAGTGCTTCATTCTGTCAATTTGTTTCCAAACATAAGTTACAAATGGTACTGATCATTGCTTAGGATTTTTTTTTTTTTTTTTTTTGGGGGTGGGGGGGAACTTTGCTGAGTAATTAAGTTAGCATAGCATACAATTCATGCACGCTCTAATTTCTTTTATCGCCTAAAATGCATGGTTTATGTACAAATGTCGCTTGTTATAATGGGAATTTTTGATGTCGACAGGAAAATGGAGGAGCAGCTTCAACCAACAAGAAAACAGCCAAGACAGCAAGACAGGGGAAAAAGGTGAAGATAGAGACAGATTCACATAACATAAAAGATATGTTTACTAGAGCAACGAGAAGCAGAACAAAGACAACACAGTAGAAGAAAAAATCTATAACTATTTATAGGAATTTTAGTGTCAATTTTCATGAGCTTTTGTTCAATCAAAATTCTGGAACCTAGCCAAGCTTGTGATGTCTTAGAGAATGTTGAACATACAGTGACAGTCCATTAATGTGTATCTTCTGATTTTTTGTATCTTCTCTTTCTTTCATTGAACTCTCTTCTTTTTCTTCTTATTATTCCCCTCTTTTCAGGAGAGGGAAATGGTGTTCTACATATCTCTTGTCATATTCCTCCTCTTGGTTATATAAATATGTTTGAAGTTTGGTTAAAAATTCTAAGGGAGTACTTTAAGCAATTTATTATACACCTTAAAACATTTAGACTATATATAAGGTTGGTATGGGTTTGAAATTTTCGAATGAGTATGAATAGTTTGATTAAAACCATTTTGATAGACGTGACCCAGGTTCGAATATGGTGATTGGTGGAGGCTAGAGAGCGTTTCTTTCTTTCTCTGCTCTTCACTCGGAATTACAGGCTTGTCTCTGGGCTCTTAAGGTTGCTGATAGACGTGGTTTCAGGCGTTTGTTGATCTACACAGGCTGCTCGACTTTATTATCTTTATTTCAAGATAGAGGAGGTCGGGATATTTCTTGCATCTAGTTGATTCAGGATATTAGAGATTTCATTCTCCGATTCTCAGTTTGTGAACTTCGGAAGGTTCCTCGCCAATGGGTTGCCCTGGCTCATTGGTTGGCTCTTCAGGGTCGCCTTCGTCATTTTTTGTTTTGGTCCTTTTAGTTGGTTTTTATGTTTCTTTGTTTTTAGTTCGTCTTGTCAAAAAAAGAAAAAACAAACAAACAAAAAAAAAAACCATTTTGATGTCTCAAACTAAAGGTCAATCTTCCCCTTAAGCTTGGGTTTCTTTCTATTATCACTTTTCAGTTTTTAAGGAATGTTCGACGATAATTTAGTGGAAAGTTGAAGGTTGTTTCAAAACTCCGATGTCTACTTCTACATCTGACCATGTTTTATACGCCTTTTAATGTTCATTCCCTATCGATGAATAACATTATTTATCGCGCAAAAAAAATGGAATGCCACTGCACAAATTTATTGTACAAAATGTTTGAATGCCACTGCACAATTGTAAATTAACTATACAAAAACTGAAATACTGAATACAACGGAGTAATGATCAAAACCAGTTTAATATAGATGAAACAACTCAAAAATAATAAGAAGACAAAGAACCATAACTTGCAAATCAATTAGGGTGATTCAATATCATCTGGAACATCCTGCTGTCTCTTGCTTTTCCATAAATGTTAGTTACATTTACATATAATGATTACCAGTAAACATCTTTTATAGCAGAAACTGCAGTATGCGCCAGTATGTGTACACATTAAACCTCTTTGATAGCACCGTATCAGCTCCATTTGGTGGTCCAAAGGTCAGGTTAATAATTTGCAGCAAGCCCACCAAGCAACTATGAGGAGAATTGGGATATTTGTTACAACTTACAAGCACCAAGAGGTAGAACTGGTAGAACTGTAGAAACAGTTAATTATTCAATGGGTATGCTGAAATAGGGTGTCCTGACTAACACATTTTTTCTTGGGGTGAATCTACCATGTGGAAAATATTTTGGGTGGGTTTCCGGCATTGAGGTTTGCTGCTTTGAGCTTTTCTGGAAGCACAGGCCTTGAGGAAGTTGGAAATAGATTGGTCCATATGCTTGCTTCTCACAGACATACTTATTTAAACAAACGCGTGAGACAATTAGCTGCTAGCATTGCCTAAAAACAGCAGCACGGGACAGTGCTGGCCATCACAGTGAATCAGCTGTTTGCTCAGCATGCCATACAAGCAGATAGAAATGTGAGCCCCTGAATGGCTGAATCTCTATGCCGTGATTGTTCAAAAAAATACACAATTCTTCATCCAACACTAACAACTCTGCTTTCAGCTGTTGAGCCAATAAACAACCAAAAGACTCCTCATCAACACAGCTGCGAGCATCAAAGCATAATTAATATCAAAGGATATAAGCCATGGAAGGGTCACACGCTCAACACAGAAAAGCCGTAGCGACTTGATACATTCAAACTATCACATCTCAGTCTAACTCAACGAGCAATTGATCGCAAAGTTGTGGCATCGTCAAAGTTCTCATTTGGCTTGCGAATTTGGATAGGTGGTCCAAAAATAGCCATTTTCTGTGATAGATTCTCTAAGGCTTCATGTTTATTTGCCAATTCCATTAGCACCTTAATTCTTCTAAAAGAAACATTGCTTGGCTTTTGTCTCTTCTTTATCATCTGCAAGAAACATGTCTCCGCCTCAACCAACTTCCCCACGTCACAAAGCAGATCAAACAAAACATCAGACACCAATATAAACGATCCAAACCCCTTCTCCACCATGTCATTCCACAGCTCAAGTGCCATATCCACCTGTTCCTGCCTCTTACACAGCCTAATTAAAAACATACAGGACTGCGTGTTTGGCAAGCAACCGTCTTTTTTCATCTGCTGATACAATCTCCAAGAACTCTTCAAGTCATTCGACCAATAAAACACCCTAAAAAACAAATTAAACGTAGTTGGATTCGGACTCAACCCCTTGGCCACCATCTCATTCATCAACTCAAAAGCAACACCAAGCCTCTTAGCAATGCAATAGTTCCTAATAGCAGCATTATACGCTGCAGCATCCGGGTAACATCCATACTCCCTCATCTCCCTCAACACATCCCTAGCCTTATCCGGCTGACCTGCCTTACCCAAACCCCCAATCAAACTCGTATATGTGATCACATCCGGACAAATCCCTTCCTCTTGCATTTTATTAAACAATTGGTACGCCTTCGTAACCTCTCCACTCTTACAATAAACATCAATCAAACTATTGTAAGTCACAACATCCGGCTTCACACCCAACTCCTTCATCTCCTCGAAAAACTCTTCGGCCTCCTCCGACGACCTCCACCCTGATAGAAGTATATTAAAAGTCACTGCATTCGGCTTAAACTGACCCTTCAAACCATGATACACATTTCTAGCATCCACCATTGTTTTCTCTTGACACAAAACCCTCAACAATGCATTAAAACAACTAGTATCAAATTCAGGAACAAGTCTTTTAAACTTCTTAAACCCTTCTACAGTTTGTCTAACAGAACAAACCTTAGCAATTCTACCTAAAACAACCTGTAAAGTTCTATGAGAAATCAAACTACGATCTTCCCTTTTAACATCATTCAAAATCTCCCAAATTTGATCAAATTTCCTAGTTCTACCTAAAACATAAAGCATTGTATCAAGAGAAAATTGGGTATGATAAAACCCTTTACTTTTTCCAATTAACTTGAAGAATTCTAAAGCTAAAAGTGGGTTTGAATGACTGAAACGAACCCTTTTAAGAACTTTATCAATAAGTTGATTTGATAAAGAAATCCCACTTGAATTTAGGGATTGTTTCAGTTTCTGGGGTGAAGATGAATCATTGATTATGCGAAAAACTTTGTCAACTTCATGATCAAACGGGGTTTTTTCTGATGAAAAGAGTCGAAGTTGTAAAGAAGAGAGAGAAAGAGAGAAGTAAGCATACCTTAATGGCGACTGATAATGGAGGAGTTTTAGAGCCATTGTTGTGTTGGCTGAAAAGGTTTGGAATGAGGGGGAGTTGTATTGTGGTCTGTTTAGGTTTGAAATCGTTCTTCACTTTCACTTGCTAGTTGCTATTGTACATTTCGGTTTTTTTTACCCCTTTCACACTCCGATGCTTGTTTTATGCAGCCGGTGCATAGGGTGCGTACCTATGGTACGCTCGTTTTATAACGATATCCCAAACCTATAAAAGCACCGAGAACTAAATTAGAAGTGCTTAAAAATTTTGAAATTTTTATCTATAGTGTCCTACTCAATTTACCCTTACATTTTGCCTTTGATTCGCTAATCTACACTGAGCGGACAACTTTGCCCCAATAAATGTGCATGTGCACATGACTAGTGTTTGTTTTTCCTTAGAGCGACACGTATTAGACCAAAAATGAAAAAAACATATATTGATGATGAAATTAATACAAAATACAATTACATTTAAGTGATTGATTTAAGTGATCTAGTCAATTCATGAGTCCAATACAATAAAGTGTGGGACAAGGTCACAAAAGTCATTCTCGATGGTCATTACATGATGTGGGACAAAGTCACAGAAGTCATACTCGATGGTCATTACATGATGCTTTCTAGGCTCCTAGCTATGGAGTACCAGATGAGTAGTGTTAGACTAATACTCGAAGGTCATTACATGATGCTTCCCATAATTTCTATTTTAGTAAAAGAAAAGGCAACGTGTGGTCCACGTTCTTTGTGTTTTATCCTTAGTCTGGATTATTTTCAAGTCAAATTGTATGTTTTGCAAATAATACTAGTTTCATTAAATGTTAAATGTGTAGGTCTTTGTGATTTCTCATGTTAAAAGAGGCGGCTACACCTTAGCTCATCCAGTTGCTAGATGGGACACATATGAGTGTTATAAACATGTTTGTATGAGTCCGTTCTCCAAAGTCTCTTCACTTTGATGGAGCTTGATTTGCAATAATATAATAGGTTGACGTTTTCCTTCTAAAACAAAAATTAAAGATGTGCGTCTTAGAAGAACACAATTCATACAAAAAGAAGAAGTAAAAAAAAAACTTATGTATTTCAAACCTAAAAAAAATACTTCTATGGTTTAAATCCTAAGAACTTACAATTCAAACCCAAAGAAATGTCTAATCCAATTTATACACCGTAATGAATAAATGTTAAATTAGAAGATAAATTGAGACTTTAGAAGCTAATTAATTATATAAAAAAAAAAATCAAAGCGTTTTGCGTGAGACTGGACTCACGTGAGTCCGGGCTCCTTATTTAAAAAGGCGCGGGCCTGATCAACCCGACCAAAGCCCGCGCGCCATTTTATAAAGTGTCTGAACATTTCGTTTTCATCATTTTCATAAAATTTCGTGCGCCGTCATTTACTGAAAATTTCGAACGCTTTCATTTCGTCGAATTTCAACCACTTCATTTCCTCAAATTTCAGAGAATTCAAATCTTCAAATTTCATAAAAAAATGGAGAAATCAAACAATAGAATGATGATTGAAGGAGATTCTGATTCACCGATAGAATCAATTTCTAGCTCAATTACTGCTGAAAAAGGTACAATTCAGTTCATCATTTTGATTGTATGTAATTTCGAATCATATTTAAGAATTTCAAATTACATAGTTCATGATTTCAGATTGTATCATAGTGAATTTGAAATATGAATTTCTACTTATAATTCGCATGCAAGCCGCAAGCCAAATTGAATTTCAGATCGTAGTAAATTTCGATTTAATATCAGATCGTATTTAAATTCGAGTTAATTTCGACTTATTATATGCAATCAACGCCAATCGAATTTCAGATCGTAGTTAATTTCGACTTATTTGAAAATCAGGCTTAATTTATATTCCAATCGAATTTGAAATCAGGCTTAATTTATATTTCACGAATTGTATATATTACATGTCGCAGAAAATTAATTTTAATTTTAATCCAGTTTTTTGATAATTTTAGAGTGAAATCCAAATATACTAACACTAATGATGAATGCAACAGATAATGTAATTTTAGGAGACAATATCAATGAAGAAAGAGATGATGAAGAAAGAGATGAAGATGCTGCAAGTATAATAGGTATACTGATAATTAAATGTTCTGTAAAATTATTAAATGCTCTGTAATTTATTGATGTAATTGCAGACAATATAATTCCTGACTAATATTATATGAAACTTGACTGAATTAATTTTATTCCTATGGAAACCTATTTCCTAAAAAAAATTATATGGAAATTAGTGAAAATAATGTAAACCTGACTATAATTATTTTAAAACTGACTATTATTAAATTAAACCTGATTATCATTTTCTATTTCCAGTTTAATATAATTTCTTTTCTTTCCAATTCCTATAATTTCTAATTATCATTATCTATTTCCTGATTAAGATAATATATTTCCTGACTAATATATTGTAATTTCTGACCAAAAAAAATAATTCTGATTTGATAAATATATAAAATTTCTGTATGCTATGATATATCTGAATATTATTATATTAAAACTGAATATCATTATCTGTTTTCTGACCAACATTATCTAATTCCTGACTAACATATGCTAATTCCTAAGTATTATAAATTTAAAAACATTTAATTACTGTATATAGTATTGATAATAAAATTCCTGACTATTATTATCTGTTTCCTGACTAATATTATCTTTAACCTGAATGAGTTAATTTTATTCCTGACTAATATATTGTAATACCTGATATAAAATATCTAATTCCTGACTAAAATATGCTAATTCCTGAGTATAATAAATTTCAAAAAATATTTAATTATTTTATAACGTCATACAAAACAAAAAATAAAATAAAATCATTTAAATTTAAAAAAAATTACATATTACTGAAATGTTATGTTTTTTAATTCAAATGTAATAAAGTGCAAAACATTGAACATAAGCTACTAATAACATCCTCTATTTTAATTCTTTTTTCCTCTCTACCTGGTTGGCTTGCCTCTTCTCTTTTTCTCTTTCTCTTGTTGGCTTCTTCTTCCGCAAAAATTAAACGTAATCCATCAAGAAATTCAGCCCAGTCTTGCACCATCCCATTGTGAAAACCATAACCATTATGCCTTATAATTAATGTCATATGCAGCCCACCATTCATTTGAATTATGATTTCTTCTTACTATTTCTGGAATCTAAAATTTGTAATACCATAATTCATTATAATATTTACATGTACAATTAATCATCGCCTGGGCTTTGAAGGTGCACCTAGGGAAAATATGTGTTTCGGGGTTTTCTGATGTCCTGCGGGAGAGCTACAATTCCGAGACTGGAACCGGACGCCTGTACCTGCAAAATAACGGAGACTCCTGAGAGCTCCGCCTCCAACGGTCAAGTTAGTACCTGATTAAGGAGTAATTAATACAGAAATTAAAGTAATAAGGTCTCTCTAGGTGAGAGTATTTAATGTAGGTAATCTGCTTTGCTAGCGAGATCAGCCGGTTATTAGTGTGTTCCGTAATGTTTCTCCTCTGTTCCGTTAATTATTCCGTCCCTTGATTAATGAGGATTAATCGAGTATTTATAGCCTTGGGAAGCGTGCAACTCTCTAGGTTTAAGGTAAACCTAGGGCCGATCGGGCTTCTAGACTGAAATGGGCCTTGATGGCCGGTTGTCCCATTTGGCATGGGTGGACACGTGGCGTGTCTTAAGTGGTCCGTGGAGGACGCGTGGCGGAACCTGGTTGGTCCACTTGTCAAACGGCGCTTGGTGGATAAAAATCCCCTAATCATTTGCCCCTCACAGGTGGCACGCGACTGGTCACGTGTCGCCTGTGACAGGTGTCGCACGGTGACAGGCGACGGCCCGTTACAGGTGTCACCTTGCAGACGGCCGGGAGATCCTCCCGCCCAAATTTGAATTCGGAAGCGACCCTTCGCCTTCTCATTTTGCCTATAAAAGGAAGTGCTGACTTCGGTCATTTTCACATTTGAGAATTTTTGCGAGAACATTCGGACCCCTGAACTTGATCTGACATTTTCGGACTTTTTCTGCCTACCGCCTGTTCTGACAAGCCGACTGACCCGAACTTTCAGGACTTCATCAACTGTCATCCGTTCAGGTAACTCAGTTCTCTTACTCTTAATTTTCTTTTTATTTTTTGAAATGGCACCATGGAAGCACACGACACGCCCTAAGTTAGTGATCAGCCGGTCACCGGGGACGGCTGAATCTAGGACTAGGAGTGCCGCCTGCCCTTTTCTGGACCCATCTTTGCCCTTTATACAAAGTCCGACTGAATCTGTGTCTATGCAGAACGTGATGGCCAGAACAAAAAAGACTGCTAGAATATCAAACTCAGACGGCTCCTCCCAAAGGGTACTCCTTAGCGAAACATCTGACCAGGCGCCAGATGTGGAACGAGGCGACTGTCAAGCTGACAGTTCTGAGAGAGGGACCAAGGTGTTCCCTTCTCATCTAACCGTGGACATGTCTAATTTACCTTCTGCTCCTTCTAAGGGAGAGGAGGCGGGCCCCTCTAGGAGAGGGGAGGCGTCGTCCTCTTCGGACTCGTCAGGGGACGAGTCCGATTGCGGCTCTTCTGACCATAGTTCTTCTGACCATAGTTCTTCTGACCATAGTTCTTCTGACTCAGAAGAAAAACATAACCGCCTACAAGAGGCGAGAAGTTCCCATGCAGTGGAGAAGGGGGATAATTGGGCAGAGCCGTCCGCCTCTTACAGAGAGGAAAACACCCCCTACTACTGCAGGGTGCCCCGGGGCCGGATCGCAACCATGCGAGACAACGTGGCGAGCTTTATTGCTAACCACAAAATGAGCCCGGAGTATTTACTGTTTGTGCCGGATCCAGAAGATACTGTCGTCTGGCCGGCTGGTACCAGCTATGGTGACGGCTGTTTTGGCTGCTATGTGGCGGCCATCAAAGCTGGTCTGCGCTTCCCATTACATCCGGCTGTTCAGCGGATTTTAGATGGGTATGATCTGGGGTTATGGCAGTTAGCCCCCAACTCTTGGGTAAACGTACTCGGCTATGTGGCCGGGTGCGAACTGAACGGGGTGGAGCCAAGTTTTGAGGCTTTCGCCCACATGAACTATCTCAGCCGGACCCCTAAGTTGGGAGGTACCGGCTGGTATCAACTAACAAGCCACAGGGGTTACCTCATGACGAGAGGTAAGGCAAACAAATGGAAGGATTGGCGGAACACCTTCCTTATTATCGAGAGTTCAGACACGGAGCTGAACAAACGTTTTAACAAGTGGAACAGAGATCCGCCTCTTCTTGCAGGCGGCCGCAGCATGCCGCCTGTTCCCCCAAAGGCTAAAAGAGAGATCCTAGACAAAGGACTCTTCAAAGTAGAGACTAGGGTGAACTCTACTTCAGGGGTACGAGAGCAAGTACCCCTACACTGCGTCCCGAGCTTCAAGTGGCTCTATGATGAGTACTTCTTGGCCGCCTGTGGCCTCGGCAGTCGGTGCTCTAGAGGTAGCCGGCCTGACGAATACTCTGTTTTCTCACGCCTTGTTTACTTGGGATTTTTACTAACTTTGCTGTTTATTTCTTTCAGCCGACGCCATGAGTAAAATAACAGCATCTAAGACTGCGGCGGCCATGCTGCGGGTTTCGCTAATGAAGCAGTCGTACGCCGACTCCCCCAGCAAGGAGGCACCCTTGGTAAGCTTTGAAAACTCTTCCCCTTTAAGTTGTATTATGCATATACTAACTCTTTTTGTTTTCAGTCTGGCACTCCAAGGGCTTCTTCCTCGCAACAGCCGGACCCCAAGGCCCGGAGAACGACTGTTGCAAGCTCTCCTGGGTCTTCCAGGAAAACAGTGGCGGCTGAGAAGCAGCCGGCCACTTCTTCAAAAACCCAGGCGGGGCCGCCTAGATGTATGGACACTTGCTTGTAAAAACTCACTCTTGCTTCCTTCTTGATTAGGTCTAACTTGTTTTTCCTTCTGCTTAATGCAGCCGGCCCCCAGGGACTTGACTTGGTTGAGGTAGCCAAGTCAATGGTTAAAGTAGTTCCTCCCTCTGACAGGGAGGCGGTCAAGGGTGCCGGCACCCTTGACCTCGATGGAATTTCGGGGATCCTAGCTGAGGTATACCCTTTTGAAGTTCCAGGACGCCTGTTAACCCTTATGATTGGAAACTGACGCCTGTTTTTCTTTGTACTTAGGCCCTGCTCCGAGTCAACAGCCTTCGCAAGCCGATTGATCGGAAAAACAAAGAGGTAAAGGCCGCAAAGGCTATGGCCGCCTCCAGCTGTGATAAAGCAATGTTTCAAATTGCCCAAAATGAAGTACTGACCATTGATCTTCTTTATTATCAGGCGCAGGCGACCGCCGCTGTTCGGGCTCAGCTAGAGGCGGCCCAAAAGAAGGTTGACGAGCTGGAGGGGACCGTCACCAAATTTAAAGCCGAGCTGAAACCCCTTCGCCAGAAAATGCACTCTTACGAAGCCATGGAGAAATCTTTGGCTAACGTAAAAGAACGCCTGGTGAACCAGGAGAAGAGTCTTACCCAAGAGCTCTCGGACAAGGCCGAGCAAGAAAAACAAGAGCTCGTCCGGGAGATGGTGGAAGACTCCGCCCAAATCCAACGCATGACCTGGGAACGACTGTTCCCCAGTGCCGACTTTGCCTCATGGGAAAGAACGTACCGCCAGTGTTCGGAAATATATAATCAACAGATCCTGGCGGCTGCTGAAGAAGAGGCGATGGACGTTGCGTTGGAGGAGGAAGAGCCTGTTGTGGCGCTTGTGCCACTTGGGGGAAAGGCATCAAAAGATGATGCAGCGAAGGCCGAGTCCAGCAAGAAGAGTGCTGACCAGGCGGCTGCTGCTGATACTGAACTGCCCCCTTCTTAAGCTTTAAGTATATTTTTTCTTTTCACGGCCTGCGTGCCGTTTGCTTTGTAATTACCCGGCCAGGGGGCCGGGGTTTTGAATATTCTGCTGGTCTTTTATGGCCGGCTCATTTTAATCAAATTTTTTGTTTTTGTTCAAATTTGTCTAAGTATTTGAAATTTGCTCACTAGACAGACTGTTGTGTATGGCCGAACGTTAAGACAGGTACAAATAGTAAGTATGCCGCC